ACACACACACACACACGCGCGCACTCTCATACACACACACACAAACACACACACACCCACACACACATACAAACAAACACACTCACACAATCTACCTCTTTCAGCTAAGGGTCGCTTTATCGCACTACACAAATAAACAGACGAGTTTAGGCCCTATGCATCAAGACCACTTCTCTGATTACACCCCTGCACTGGAACAGTGCCGATATCAAAGAACTATGATGAGATCTCACCATCAGAAGTTTAGCCGACCAAGGTACAAGTGGACATTAAATTAGTCATTATTCTCTTTATTGCGAGGTCAGGTATCATCATGCAGTGGCAAAATCTGCGACAGGCATCGGCGATCGTAGTTCCCCATTCATTCCTTTGTTCGGATGCTCTTTAAAAAAAGCTACGTTTCCCTGATGTTTCCCCGTTATCCATTTGATTAGGTTCCCCACGTAGGTTGCTCTGGGCCTACCCCTGCCTCGTTTGGCTTCAATTATACTATACAAAAATAATGTTATAATAAAATGCTGATAGAAAAAGATACACTGACAAATCCTGCCAGTTTGTTTAGCGTTTGTTGAGCTCTTGATCGGTTGCTAGCACTGTATTATGCTTCCCGGGGAAGCCGAGAATGTTTCTGAGTATTCTAATTTTTTGGGTATGGTGGGGTAATTATAATGTATAGATTGTAAAGCGCTTTGAGTATGCTATAAAGCGTGGACGTGCGCTATATAAATGCAGATATTTTTTTTAGAAATATGATTAGTCATTAACCTCTTTATTACTAGAGCAGCAATATCAAACTGTATATGGTTGCTTTAAAGGACAAGCGAGCTAACCCAGATTTCAGGTGATTCCAGGCTGGAAATGACTCACAACTTTGAACATGCCTTTGGTTAGTTGCTTATAAATTATTGAACATGTGCCCGTGGGTGGTTGGTGGGTGTTCTGGTGTGGTTTGCTGCTTCTTCTTTCCAATCAAACATCTGTCATCCTATCTCTCTCTTTCTTTTTTTTGTTAATGGAATTATTCATACCATCCCCCCCCCAAAAAAAAAAGAAAATTTAAAAATCCCATAGTGACCACCCCCCCTCCCACGAAAGAGACACTGAGAGAGAGAGAGAGAGAGAGAGAGAGAGAGAGAGAGAGAGAGAGAGAGAGAGAGAGTGTGTGTGTATGTATGTGTGTGGGTTTGTAAAACATTACAATCCACCCATCCCCCCTCCCCCTAAACTGCTGTGTCCAAAACAATTACTCAATCATAATACAATAGAATCTGCCCCAACAGCCACTTTCACAAGTCAATTACCTGCACACACACATGCACACACACACACACACACACACACACACAGACACATACACACACACACGCACACACACACACATACACACACACACACATACACACACACACAACCACTTTTCATTCCTTGCTTGCTGTTTTACTGTATTATAATGACATTATCTGAGGTTTCCACTTGTGGAATTCAGCAATTGCCAGCAAATTTCTCCTCGATAACTTAGTTGTCTCAGACAGTTTTGTCCAAATTATATGTGAGGCAACGTGGTAGAATCAGGCTCTTGTCAAAATTATCAAAGTGGAAAAACTTGCATTTTTCCACAGGTTTGTGAATTTGTATAACATTTTTGTTTTTTGGCTCAACACCTTTCATGGCCATTAAAGAACTCATTTCTGTGTGGATTTTTTAAATTTCCAAGTACCACGGACTCTTGAGATGAGGAAATAACTAACCTTTGGCGGCCATCTTTTCACTAATTTTACCTCTGAAAACAGGTGACCCCCATCTCCTTCATTCTCAAATATCTCGACTTTTTTTCAAGATAAAGGGATATTTCTTTCATCGAAATAAAGACGAGTGAACAAGCTTTAAGATGATACCAATAACTCTACAGGCCCAAAAATTGACGAGAGCCTGATTCCATCACATATGGTCGCTTTTAAGCACAAGAGGGCTCGCCCGAAAATATGCTGTTTTGAGAAAATCGAAGGAAAAGTTCTTGCCCCTTGTTCAGTTTCTTTAATAGACAAGGAGCGTTTTCTCTATAACCGAAGAAATATACATGTACACACCAAAGAAACCAATCTTCTCCTTTAGGTAGGGTAATGCCCACTTTTGGTGTAGGTCAAGATTTCTGGAAACCCCTGAAATCTGGGTTTGCCCACTTGTCCTTAAAACGACCAATTTTGCACAAGTTAAAAAAAAAAAAATATTAAAAAACAAAAACCCTAAAAATTGCGAAAATAAGACGTTATGCTGTTTGTTTGTTTTGGTTCTGTTTGTTGTTTGTTTAAGTGTCTCAAGTGTGGTTTTCGAATGAGCAGAAAGCATAATAACGTTATCCTTACTGAGTTTAAGAAAAAGGAAGAGAAGAAAGATGACATCGTAAGAGGGTCGGATGAAACACCCTCTTGTGATGTGTTTGTGTACTGTTCTTTGAAGGGATGGGGTAGATTGAAGAGAGACTGGACGGAGAAGGCAGAATACATAATATTTGCATGATGATGTAAGGAACGATGGGCGAAGAATCAATGGGAAAGCTTTTATAGCGTTTTCACATATATAAAAGGCATCACGACAGATTGCTATACAAATAGAGTGGTCACGTTAACAAGACAGTCTCTCGAGCAAGCACGCACGCATATACACATGCATTCTCTCTCTCTTTCTCTCTCACTCTCTCTCTCTTTCTCTCTCTCTCTCTCTCTCTCTCACACACACACACACAAACACACTGATACATACACTCACACACAGATACACACACTCACATACACAAACACACTCACACACATATATATACACTCACAACACAGTCTATCTCTCACACACACACACATAAACA